CGAAAAAACTCGCGGAACGAATTAATTTCGTCTTGCAAGGCACCACTGTAATGTTATTAATACTGGATATTGATCGACCACAACAAACCTCTTTAACTCACCTATTTCAAACACACTTGTTAATCCAACACACACACACCAGCACCTGCTCAACATCAATTTCATCATAGCCTAAATTGGAGGTGTGAGTCACAAGAAAAAAGCCACAAAGAAGAATCAAGGCAAGTCCAACATTTTACATCCCTAGGCTGACAACATCTTTTTTAAGCGACCCAGACAACTACGGACTTGGGACTTTTTCCAGCCGGGCCGACAAGCTGCACAGAAATAGTAAGAGTCAATTCTATTAGCAACTTAAAGAGACTGGGATCTGTTTGACTGTAAGCTGGACAGCCAAGCATGCAACCCACAACGAAATCAGCTCTGTCATTTATTGCTGGACACAGATGAAGGAAGGCTGATACAAGTCCTACTGTATTTGGAATGAAACGTGTCACCGATAGCATAACATAGCAGCTTTCATTAGCAGTCGCCAAAAAAGAAAAGAAAAAGTGACTAATGCTGAAAGGATTTCCTGCTCTCTCTGTGATGAGAAACCGCACGGCGTTTGACAGTTCCAAGGATCTTGTCCCACAACCATGTGTTTTTTGGCAACAGCCCATCTCACTCCTGGCTATGCCTGTTCACTGTAGAAACTTGTTTACTGTTAATTCGTTTGATTCGATTGTTTAAAAAAGACTTTTTCTGTGCTGTGTCTACAGATGGTTAGGTGCCTCATGTCCCACATCATAAGATGGGTGGATAAATAGATGGATGAATGGATGGAGAGAAAGAGAGAGAGATGATAGATATAGATAAATAGATAGATGATTGATAGATAGAGATGATAGATAGATGATAGATAGATGATAGATAGATAGAGATAAATAGATGATAGATAGATATAGATGATAGATAGATAGATGATAGATAGATAGATAGATAGATAGATAGATGATAGATAGATAGATATAGATAGATGATAGATAGATGATAGATAGATAGATAGATGATAGATAGATAGAGATAGATAGATAGATAGATAGATAGATAGATAGATAGATAGATAGATAGATGATAGATAGATAGATGATAGATAGATAGATAGATAGATGATAGATAGATAGATAGATAGATAGATAGATAGATAGATAGATAGATAGATCCACAGTAGGTAGATGCCATGGGTACGGCTGGTGCCCTGGTCTAAACCACTGAGCCTCTTGACCTTGCCAATCAGATGGTCGGCGGGTCGAATCCCCGCGGCAGGGCAAGCTCCCGTTGCTCTGTCCCAGCTCCTGCCAACCTAGCAGTTCGAAAGCACACCAGTGCAAGTAGATAAATAAGTACCGCTGTGGCAGGAAGGTAAACGACGTTTCCGTGTGCTCTGGTTTCTGTCACTGTATCTTGTTGTGCCAGAAGCAGTTTAGTCATGCTGGCCACACGACCTGGAAATCTGTCTTTGGGCAAACGCCGGCTCCCTTGGCCTGAAAGCGAGATGAGCGCCACAACCCCATAGTCGCCTTTGACAGGACTTAACCTTCCAGGGGTCCTTTTCCTTCACCTTTACCTAGATGTCATGGGCTGGATTGACGCATAGGAATGGTGGGAGGAACCAGCTGAGGAACCACCAAGGGAGGAAATCTCAGAGCCCTGTGGTAGGACAATAAGTGGGCAGAGGGAGAAGACTGGGAGGAGGAGAGGGTGTCAGAAGCTGAAGCTATAACAGGGCTTAGTGAGCTGGGAGAGTCTGTGGCAGAGAGGAGTGCAGAATCAGATGAGAGGGAGGAGGAATGTCAAGAGGGAAAGATGAGTCTGGTTGGTGAAGGGACACGGGTTTCTCTCCCTTCTGCAACAAGCTCCCCTCTCCCTGTCTCTCAGAACCAGAAGAGGGCTGAAACGAGTAGAGCAATGGCAGACTGCATTCCTGCACAGTCTTGGATCGCTTAGAAAAAGCCCCGGAGAGGGGACTAGGCAGGGACTTTCCATCTCGGCAAGTGATGCTCATGGAGTAGGGCCACTGAGAATGAGCTGCTTTGCTCATTAGGCCTGACAGTCGACCAAGTCTGTGGAGGTTGTGCTTTTGCTAATACAGTGGTACCTCAGGTTACATACATTTCTGGTTACATATGGTTACATACAAACTCTGCTAACCCAGAAATATTACCTCGGGTTAAGAACTTTGCTTCCGGATGAGAACAGAAATCGTGCTCTGGCGGCGTAGCGGCAGCAGGAGGCCCCATTAGCTAAAGTGGTGCTTCAGGTTAAGAACAGTTTCAGGTTAAGAACGGACCTCCGGAACAAATTAAGTTCTTAACCCGAGGTACCACTGTAAAGAGTTAAGTCCAACTTTGAACTGTGTATTTACTGACCGGCACACTTCCTGTGACAGTATCATTAAAAAATGGATGTTTACCGTGACACAACATTGACCCCAATGTAGGGAAACAAGTGGCAGCATGTCCAAGGGGCTTTCTGGAAGTCCTGTGATTCCAGAACACTGCCTTAAGGTCTCTTCCTGCTTTAGATTTTGTTCTTGGCTTGCCCTGCCCATGCCAACTGGTGTAAGCCATGAATAGAAGATACGCATTTTAAGTGCTGCTTTCTTCAGCAAACTATATCAGGAAGCCGGAGACTGACAGTTCCCCAGGAGCTACTTCCTCGTATTTCACTGACAAAAACAGCAAATTAAGTGAGGGGGGCACACAATATTCAAATTCAAGCTTCAGTGTCCACATAAAGAGAGCAAAAATGTGTGTTAAAATTATGTTAATGGTGGCACTGCAAAGAGCGATCTTTGAATGCGGTAGTCTGAGCTACCTCACTGCATGAACGAAACAGGCCTTTTGGGAAAGGCCTGGTCTCTGTGTTTCAAGCAGTACTCTGGAAATGGCTTGCCTTCTCTCTCGTCAAAGGGAAGAGTGCTATTCTCCAAAAAAGAAGTGAAATTTATTATAAAACCAGCTGAGGCCCACCGAAACCTCAACAACTTCTATAAGATGAATGTGAGCTTTAGTAATACAGTGGTACCTCGCAAGACGAATGCCTCGCAAGACAAAAAAACTCGCTAGACGAAAGGGTTTTTTTGTTTTTTGAGCTGCTTTGCAAGACGATTTTCCCTATGGGCTTGCTTCGCAAGACGGAAACGTCTTGCAAGTTTGTTTCCTTTTTCTTAACACCGTTAATACAGTTGCGACTTGACTTCGAGGAGCAACTCATAGAACGCGGTGTGGTAGCCATTTTTGAGATTTTTAAAGCTTTTGAGGTTTTTGAAGCTTTTCCAAACTTTCCCGACACCGTGCTTCGCAAGATGAAAAAAATCGCAAGACCACAAAACTCGCGGAACGAATTAATTTCGTCTTGCGAGGCACCACTGTATCTGACTAATCACAGCTCCCGGCATGCGTACCCACGAATACATGTTTATGACCCTCAGACATGTTAATTAATACACAAATTTCATACTAAGCGCTAAACTATCCATGAAGCATAATCATGTGGTTCAGCTCTTCCTGAGACTGTTTCTATTTCAGAGTTCACATGAAGAGATGGCATGATTCACTTCACCAGACCAAGCAAACAAAACTCCTCACACCTAGAAAATTAGCACATTCAGAAGAAAGCTGTGTGGCTAGCCTTTTGGCTAGCATGCTATCTTTCCATGTGCAGGAAATTTGTTTGCATGTGGTATTTCCCAAGCATCCAGTCCCCTACCTGTAGTTATACAACATAGGAAAAGCTGTAACACGTAACTGCATTAAATGTTCACAATTCCTCCTTGGAAGTGCTTTTCCAAAAAGAAATTTTGACATGTATAAAAGTGCAACTTTATGGGTGCTTCTAGGCTTAGCACATAGCTGCATAAGGTAAAGGTAAAGGGACCCCTGACCATTAGGTCCAGTCGTGACCGACTCTGGGATTGCGGCGCTCATCTCGCTTTACTGGCCGAGGGAGGCGGCGTACAGCTTCCGGGTCATGTGGCCAACATGACTAAGCCACTTCTGGCGAACCAGAGCAGCGCACGGAAACACCGTTTAGCTTCCCACCAGAGCGGTCCCTATTTATCTACTTGCACTTTGACGTGCTTTCGAACTGCTAGGTTGGCAGGAGCAGGGACCAAGCAACGGGAGCTCACCCCGTTGTGGGGAATTAAACTGCCAACCTTCTGATCGGCAAGTCCTAGGCTCTGTGGTTTAACCCACAGTGCCACCCGCATCCCACATAGCTGCATATGCTATCATATAATATTATTGGTACTGGCATTACAAACAAATAAGAACAGTAATTCTCTGTCTTGCTGGCAGAATGGTATCCTGGCAGCTACCTGCTTGAACTAAAGGTACTAATCCCACCTTTCATGTCTCCAAAAACACAAAAATATGTGTGGTGCAACATCAGCACCAATCAGCATTAGTAAAGTCACGGAATGGCACCCCCCCCCCAAAAAAGCAATGAACACCAGGGCCAATGTTGGAAACTATTTTATCCTCATTAAAGGAAAGCACAGTTGCGTTAAACAACAGACAAAACAACCAAGCTCCATTAAGCAGATTAAACCAGCCAACATGTTCAGGAGTTTTCATTATAGTTGCTGTCATTATTTATGGGCTTCCTGAAGATCTTTTTTTGATGGATTGTGTTTATTCGAGACTCCTGGTGACAAATTAATTCTCTGCGCAGCAAGGCAACAAACCAGTGGGGAAAAACCAGTGTTCAGAGTGAGAGGAGGTCTAAGGGAACAGACCAGAGCGTGTGGAGTGCCGATATATGTGTTTATTAAATGACCACAGGACAGATATTTAGCCAAGAAGGCTTTGTCATTTAAGAAGCCATTTAGATCATGCAGCAAAGCTACGTCTCCATAAATCTCATGATTAATGGAGTCCTAGGGGAAAGAATTAAGAGTACCCCCTGTCCTTTCTCTCCGTATTCAAGCAACTGGTGTGATCCCATACACATCTAAGATTCAGCAACAATTAAAGAGTATTTCGGTACCTGATGAGAACACACTGGTTGTCATGACGCTTCCATAGGCAGCGGTAGCACTCGTTGGCAACAGCAAATATATGAGGCGAAATCTCTCCCAAGTGGTGCCGGCTATAATGCTCCACCGTGGCGCGGTCGTAGAGGCCCGGAATGGTCTTGTAGGGGTTTACGGAGGCAACTATGGAACCAATATAAGTCTGGAAAAAAGAAAAACATAGGATTCTGGGATAAGGTGTACATGCGATTACAAGACACTTGAGTTCACGAGTTAACCTTTAATATGGCACAGCAAGTTTTAGCACAGCAATGTCCAGAATTGCAAGGAAAAGGAAAAGAATGGAAACAACCCATTCTGTAACCAAAGGAAACAGTTGCACAGTACTGTGCTTGCTAAGGCTATAAAATGCTCATTTTAAGACTTAGGACATAATCTACTTGGAAGGCCTACAATAACAAGCCTTATTAGTTACTTTATTAATTGCCAGGACACAAGTCTCTCTCCTCACCACCATACTTCCACCCACAACAGTAACTGGCCAAAGATGTTTTGCTTGATCTATTAAAATATGACAAGATGCCCTTCATTAAGGGCATCTTGGATTAAATATAACTGTATCCAAGGTAAAACCTTTTAAAACAGTTAAAAGGTTCATATAAATATAAATACATATTTATATGTATATATTGCCATTTTACGGTATTTCTTGAAGTAAATTTTGTGCTCGTCACCTATGCAGCTACAGCAAAATCTGAAACTCTGAATGTAACAACTTTTTACTGGTTAGGTGCAGGGCAAATTGTTTACACTAAGATCAGAATCGGCCAAACCATTTCACGATGGTTCACTGCATTTTCTCCTGGGTTTGGTATAAATACCATTCGAGAAGTGCATGTTCTCAACCAGTGAAACTCCACAAATACCAACCCGTTGGTCTAAAAGGTTCATCTAGCATTGTCCCACTGAGAATGCCTAGTTAGGAATGTCAATGCAAAAAGAGGGAGAGAGAGAGAGATTCTGGAAGTCATGGAAGTTTTTGTGCAATGAAGAGAGGAAGAAAATAAAGATGAGTGGGTTGGTTCCATATCTTCATTGGGGATTAAGGGACCAATCCTATAGCAAGATCTGCAGAGATGAACGCTGCTGGAATCCAGAGGATCTCCAGCGGAGCCAAGCGGTCCCTGATGCAGTTGGGCTTTGCCAGCACAACTCCCCAGGCTCAGCTCTGCTGGAAATATGCTGGGCATAATTCTCCCATCCCAGCTTCGCTTGGACCCAGCTGGCAAAGCCAAGCCAAGCCTTGGAGATCTGAAACCAGTGTAAACCCTTAAAAAGGGGGTCATTTCAGAGGTGTGTCAAAGGCAGGACTGGGAGGGGGAGAGATGCTAAACCCGTTCAACTTGGTGACATAACCTGGCAACAAAACATAAATTTAACTAGCAACAAAGAGTGGTTTAACTCAAAAACTATTTTTAAAGGCTTGTTTTTCCTCTGCCAGGCTTAGGCTGGTTCAACCAGGAGTAACTCTTGATGCTGAACGGAATTTGAATCTGGTGTAATTTACCATCTGGAGGTGCAGGCCTGAGGATCCTTGAATCTGGACCGTTTCCACACACTAGCAACATGTCCTGCAGAATTCTATCTGTAATATTTTATCTGTACAACCAGAAAGAATTTCAGAAACCAAAAAGTGTTTTCGAGGCAACTGGTCCCCAAATGACAACTAGGCCATTCCGTTTTGGCGACTGCAACCCTGGTTTAAGCAGTCATATATCTGAATTTCTAACACTGATCTGATGCTCAAAAAAAACAAAACAACAACGTGACAAGAGTGTCCTGCTATCAAGTAATCAGGCATACTGCTTCCCGAGGTTCTAATAGCCATTAACAAAATAACTTTGAAAATCAGAAATATCTGAGCTCAAATAGAAAATGAAATTAAAGCAATCACTGGATACAAATGGTGTTTGGACTCCTAAACCATTCTCTTCAGCTATGAAAAAGGTTCAGGACTAGCTCCTAAGGATGTAGGATTTGGCTTACAGGGTCAAACTTCCTGATACAGTGGTACCTCGGCTTAAGTACTTAATTCCTTCCGAAGGTCTGTTCTTAACCTGAAACTGTTCTTAACCTGAAGCACCACTTTAGCTAATGGGGCCTCCTGCTGCGCCGCTGGAGCACGATTTCTGTTCTCATCCTGAAGCAAAGTTCTTAACCTGAAGCACTGTTTCTGGGTTAGCGGAGTCTGTAACCTGAAGCGTATGTAACCTGAAGCGTATGTAACCCGAGGTACCACTGTACTATAAGAACCAGGGAGCATTGGCCACAAAATTACGTACTGATACGGAAGTGGACCTTGTTCACCCCAGCATTGGAACGATAAGGTACAGGATGCGACCCAGCCATTTTACGTACTAGGAATAACCTGAGAGCCATCTTTTCTTCTCTATCTCTCTTTTAACTTATATGGATAACTGATTCTGTTCTCCCTGGTTGTACCTTGTGTTGAAATTTGCCCAAGCGAGCAATTCCGAATATCTTATCCTTGCTACAACCACCATTATTTTGTTAATGGGAAATCTGGAGCGTCGTAGATTTTTAAAAAGCATTACAGAAAAAACATACAAACTTCTATTTGGTGGCTACTGTACATTAGGTCACACCTTCTTCTCTCGCTTGCCATTCTGCCCTGTTATCATAAAGCTCATTACGCTTTTCTTTGTTTCCTTTGTTCTGTGAGCCAAGCAGGCCGACAAACTGAGCACAAGTCCGCACAAAAGAAGAAAGGAGGAGGCCCTGCAGTTTGCCATGCCCGTCCCCCCCCCCTTTAAATCCCGAAGAGAGTCGTAATTAATGGTCGCATGCATGCTAGCAAGCTTGATTTACTGAAACCACGGTCAGGACGGCCTGCATTTCAGCCCGTCTCGTGCTAATTTGTAAGGGACTGGATCCAGCTCTCTTCCTAAATTACAAGTTAAATGCTTAGAGGCCAAAACGTCTTTCTTAAAAGCCTTAGTTTAACATGTCGCTGTGATTATATGTTTCCAGAAGCTACTGCCCAGTCAGGCTGTTTCTCTTACAGAACCGCCAAACCCTGTAATCATGTTTTATGTTCACACAAGAGCTCAGATGCCTCACAATGCAATGTAGCGCGCACAACATATTCAAACGCTCCCTCTAAAGCGCAAACACAAGTTTCTTTGCTCAAGAAGAATGTGTTTTCTTTTCCACCATCTGATCCGGCAGCTGGTTGCAGAATAAATGCTTCAGGAGAAGTACGAGAAAACAGAGAGAGAACTTCTCACGTACAAAGCCAAAACTCAAGTTTCTTCTTTTTTAAAATTTTATTTATGCAATTCACTAGTTTTACAATCATTTTAACATTTCAAAACTTGACTTCCTTCCCCCTCTTTCTGCGTTTCCTTAAATTTATTTTTAATATCTTCTGCATATCCAAATGAACTTAATTTGCTCATTTATTCATCTACTTCAAATATATACTCTTATAAAACTGCAGCAAAACCCAGGTTTCATTCATGCCAGCAAGAGAGAAGGAAATTTGTGTATTCCTCTGTTCACCTCAGTGGAAAAGAAGGACAGATTGCAAGAAGATAACAATTAACCATAGATCTGAGAGCCCTGCCGGGTGAAATAGCTGGATAGAGGTTCTTCAAAATGATTAAGAGATGAAAGAAACAAAACTATTTGTGCCTTTCCAAGTATTTCCAAGACATAAAGGGATGCTTGCCCCAAAATTTAACTAATGAAGAAGGTTTTACTGAAATGATTAAAGGAGGTTTAAATATGTACAGAACTGATTACAGGGCCTTCTCAGTAGTGGCACCCACCCTGTGAAACGCCCTCTCATCAGTTGTCAAGGGGATAAGTAACTATATAACCTTTAGAAGGCATATGAAGGCAGCCCTTTATAGGGAAGCTTTTAATGTGCAATGTTTTATTATGGTGTTATGTATGTTGGAAGCTGCCCATAGTGGTTGGGATACAAATAAAATTGTTGTTGTTGCTGTTGTTGTTGTCAAGAAATAGCTTTATGGCAGGTCCATTCTGAGGAAAAATACTGTAAGTGACGGAGAAAAAACAACCCAACTCATCTTAAAGCGGACCGCCAGAACTGACTTTTGTCATGGATTTCACAACTCAACTCTCTTTCCTCTTAGTTAGCAACTAGGGGCCAGTTGGTATTCCTCAGGGGGTCAGGCCTGGCTGCAGAAACTCCAGCTGGTGCCCCCCCCAATGTAACAGCAAAATGTATTGCTTTTTATTGGACTCATTGTGGCTCACTGCTACACCACAACTTTACTAAGTGGCACCCGTTTTCTGATTCAGTGCGTTATGCTGTAGATTGGAGAATATGTTTGGGGGAGACTAGCGGGTGCAAGGCTCTATTCTGAAGCAGCAAGTTCCCTCACTGCCCCCCACCCACCCACTCTCTGACTTTATTCCGTTAGGAAAAAAACCTGGTGACATTCTCGGTTTGTCGCTAGGAAAAGCTAAACAAAAGAAAGCTGAAGACTATTACCGGTAAATAAGCGACAAAAACAAGGCTGCTGATTGAAATTAGAATTCTCCGTACCAGAACCATCTGCTTTCCAGACACTTGGTTATCATCCACAGAGCAAAAGAAAAAAGGTGTTTACATTTGCAAAATTACTTCAGTCTCCAGGAAAATTAAATCATCACCCAGAAGGAAGCCTTGTAGCAGCAATTTCCTATCTGCACCTCAACATCATCAAGGGTCAATATAGAAGCATAACACTTCCCATCGCTTAACCATGGTTGCAGGCTTCAAGTATGGCGGCTATTTGTGCATTATTGAAAAAATCTCCCCCAAAAGAAGGCACAGATTTGCGCAACATCTTCATGTGTGAATTTATATACTCTGCTACTACCTACAAACCCACCCAGTGAAAAAGTTGGCATTATGATAATTCTCTTGTTAATCATGCTGTTCTAAACGTGCATTTTATATTTGACTTCCTTCAGTAACATTTTCATTTGAAATGTTTAGGGTTTTTTGCAACCCAGCCAGATGGGCGGGGTATAAACAAAACAAAAACTATTATTATTATTAACTTTGCTGCATTAAATGTGCATTCTGTTGTTGACTTCACTTGCAATGTTTCATTCTGAAATCTTTAAAGATAATATTTTAGTTTCCTGTTATTTCTGTTGCTTTGA